ATGTCCAGCAGGCTTTTAGACTGAATTCTGATTTTAGAGTTTTAACTGATTTTTAGTTTCATTATATTACATCTCCTGCACACTGCTTAAAGATGACTGTGATTGAGCAGTATATGAATTGTCAAACTAAATTAAAAAATAAATAAACTGTAGCACTGTGGGAGGGTCTCATGGGGGACTCTGTGGCTACTTCTGCTGTGAGTAGGGGGAGAAATTTGCTCAGTTTGCGTTTTGAACTGACCCGATTCTCTGGCCCAGAACTTATACATGAACTGAAACACAGCAATCAACTGGATTACACACTTCTCTGAGTTTTGCAACACTGTTTCAGTTTTTTAAAAATGTGCACAACATGACTTTTATGGAAGAAATGCATTTTAAACAATGTGTATTTTAGGGGAAGATTGTGTATAAAGTGTATATAATACATGAACAAAGTTTTAAATACTGTATGTATAAGTGTGTGTGTATCTGCAAATAGGAAGAAAGAAACCTAAAACTGAGTGCATGTGAAACTGACATGACATCTGTCCATCCCTAGCTGTGATTACTCATTTCTAACATCAATGGTGCTCATGTGGACAGGCAGCGTGTATAGGCAGATAAATGCACACTTTAAAGCTGAGTCACAAATGCAGGTGGGATGGTAATGTCCTCTGATTTTCCCATGGAGCAGCACATCTGCCTTTCTTGGCCCTTTCCCTCCCCTCTGCTCCTAGTGCCAAGTGTGGTGCTGCTTCTAACCTTGCACTTGTGTTCCACAGGGAACCTCCTTGGAAGGAAATGGCAGCTGCCCTCGCGATTCCAGTCTGGCGCAGGGAGAGGTTGTGGTGGGAGGGGAATGGTTGCACTTCTTGTTTGTGGGGTTCCAATGACAAAGAGAGTAATTAAAAACACCAGGTTAAAATGAAGCCCTTTTATTCCAACAGGAGATACTTCGGCATTTGCTTGATTTTCCCGCTGATCTCTGTGTGGCTTTGGGGGTAAAGTCCTCCACCTGCTTCCTTAGAGCATATGTGTCATGGACTGGCTGCATGCAGAGCCGGGATGGGAAGCCCCAGCTGGGGACTTTGGTGCTGTTCTCTCCTCCTGGTGGAGAGTGTGCTAAGCCTCAAGTTTTGAATCCAGCCAATTCTTTTGTTATCCACCCCACACATGTAAGTCACAGGGATTTAATCCCCCCACCAGTGTGCCCAACTTCAGAGTAAACGTATCTTAGTATCATGCTGCATTGTGCATACGCTTGGCTGAATCGTGTCCTTTTCTAGTAGGCATGTCAGGCACCACAAAGTCTGGGTCAGCTAGAAGATTAATCATAGAAATATGCGGCCACAAATGGCAGGGACTATATCTGCAAATATGTCAAAACTTTTCCCCCAAGCTTTAAGCTTGCAACAGGATTGCCTTGCTGCTAATTGGTATGTTTTCCTCAGAAGAGTGAAAATGCTAACCTTTTACTTGACAGATATGTGGGTAAAATGCCACATAACAATTTGAAAGCTTATCTACAGTATGCTCTTTACCATTTTTTGTTTATGCTTGAAACTCACACAACAATATACAAATACTGAGGAGGCGAAAAAGCACAAGCAAAAGTGTAACCTAAAAGGTTGTTTCAACAAATGCTTAAAGAGCCACTGGCAGCTGGTTTTCAGTGATGTTAAAACAAAACTGCCTTTCCTTTTTCCAAAAAATGATAGCAAAATGGCAATATTTTTGTCAGTATGAGATCCCCCCATCCATTATCCCCTGATAAGCAAAGGTTCCCAGTTTCATGGAGGTTTCTAAGCGGGTGCAACTGAACACATGCAGAAGCCTCCTTCAGATCTTCATGCTCACACCTTTAACCTTCACGTGTTCAGGGAAAAGCTTGTGTGTTCAATTCAAGCCTTTGTGTAAGCTTGCTTGCTACCAGCGCTTTCTCCACATGGAGATCACTTGATGATCTAGTGAAGTATAAGATTCATCAGACGTTTTTAGTGTCCACCTCAACCACATTAATATACCATTCCCCGCATGTGTTTATATATGTGGCACCACTATGTATAAAGCATGAAACATAAAGGGTTATTTAAAAACATGACTCAATAATTTCAGCAAACCAGTAGCACCTTTATTTACTGATGAAAAGTCATTGGATAACGGCCACAACTTCTTTAGCACAACAAACTATGTGTGCATGTATGTTGACACAATTTGCATGGAATTCTGGGGAACGACATCAGTTGATCCAGAGCAAGCAAACAAAAGAGGTGGGGAAATTCTACAAAACCAATATTTACTAGGGAATTGTGGGTGACTTCCAGTGATGTCTGCTTGCTTATGGACAAACACTTGAAAAATAAGACTTCTGGTTTCTCATTTTCCCCCTACATGTGCCTTCCATGTGCCCTCCAAATCAGTTCTGGATGGTTCCTCAAACCTCCAAAACTGATACAGAGGTAGAAGAGGAAGTAGAAGCCTCACTGCGTGAGCCCCACTGCGTGAGCTCACTCCCATTATATTGGATCTCACCTCAAATTCCCAATGATTTCATTGTAAGGATGAGGTCCATCAAGATTGTAATTTGAAAATTACAAAAAAGAAAATATGTATTCCAATTTCATTGTTGAAAACTGTTTATATAGATAATAAAACTATTGCAATTCACCAAATAACTAACATACCCCATTGCCTCCTCAAAAGGACTGATTTGTCAAACTTCCATAAACCTTATGAAAAAAATTGGGCAGTGGCTGTTTTTGGTAGTGGTCTTGTTCTTTGTTTAAATGGAACTCCATTTAAACTATGTGCTTTTTGCAATAATTAAGATGCTCATCCCATGTGGATCATGTCTCTATTCCACTACTTTGTAGTGGAAGATTCTGTGGTGTAACAGATTTTTTTTCTTTTGTCGGAGGGGGAGTTAAGAAAAAAAAGGCACGTAGAACAACATGAGGCATCTCAGTTATAAAACCTGCTAGAATTCCTAAATAAATTATAGGGTGTAGCATGACAGACATTAGAAACAACACAGCATTTTGGTTCATTAAAGACCAACATAGCACATTTATACTGTACGTAATGAGTTTTGCGGACTTCAGTCCCTTTGTCAGATGCATGACATGTTATCCTGGGGGAGGAGGGGTGGCTGCTGTAAACAGCAACGTCAGAGGGATATCAAATGCAGAAAAGCAGTTGTTGATAACACAGACATCCTAACATTGGCAATGCCATTAACACATACTGGGTTGCTCCTTCTCAATACCATTCTAACCTCTAGAAATAAAAGACCATCTAACTTTAAAAAAAAAAAAAGCTGAAATCACTCTGTGGTGCGAATGAGCGAGCACCACCCGCCCGTTTCAGTAGTCTTTGAGGCGCCACCCGCTGCGCCTGGTCCAGGGTATCCTTTGCTCCTTGCCAGCGAACATGCCCCCAAGGCCGTGCTACTGGCTCTGCGCACTAGAGGGAGGCACAGCCTCATCGCAAGGCGGCTCCCCCCCCCCCCCGCTTCCTATGGAGAAGATAAAGCACGGTCAAACTTTGCAAGGTGCATTGCAACCACCGCAAGCAGCAGCGCAGATGGAGCACCCGCCCGCGGCTCGCAGTTTTATCTGACTAGACGTTGTTGTTATGAATTTGCAAAGTTGCGTGACTGGCTGAGCGAGGGAAAGAGGCGTGGGCGCTGCAGCAGGAGGCATTCCCCACCGCGCAGCCCAGGATCTTTTTATCATCCTGGGAGATCCTTTCTCAGCCAATCGCATCCTGAGTTTCAGTCTTCTCCGGTGCTGCTCAGTGCGATGCTACTTAAGCCGCAGCGAATGGATGCATGCAGGACGTGATGCGCTTTTGTGGGTTTTGTTCCCTTTTCTCTCCCCCCGCCCCACGCTCGCGCGCCTTCCCCCCTTTCTTTTTGCACAGTTCTGTATCGGCTTGATAATGGCGAGCAGAGGCAGCAGCAGCAGCAGCGCGTTCTGCACGGCTAGCTGTCCATTTGCAGGCTTGGCTGGGGAGGCGTCTCGAGGAGGACAGGAACCGGAATGCAAATCCTCCCAAGACGCGTCTCGGACTGAGATTTATGAACAGCGTCGCTCGAGAAGAGTCCCAGCAGTTATCCTGGGAGAAATCTGCCAAGCCCCAGAAAAGAAGAAAAAAGGAAAGAAAGAAACCCGGCCCTTTAGATAATTTCCAGGGGCTTTTGTAATTGCCCTCACAATCTGATATTCTCTCCCTCCCTCCCATCCTTAAGTGATTCATGTCAGTCTCTCACGCGGGAGTCATTCACAATTTATAAATGGCAACCTGACTTTAGTATTTATGAATCGAGATCAATGCTTTAAGCAATCAAAAACGTTCACCTTTCCCCAAATGCCTCCTGGAGGGGGCGAGGGCGAGTCTGCGCGCATTATTTCCCTGCAAGTTTGTTGTTCACGACTAACACCTCCAACCACAGTGGAGGGAGGCCCAGAAGGCGACCCTGCGCGCCTCCCCGCCTTCTCTTCCTGGGGGGAGTCCCAGCCCTCCTCTGCTGCCGGGATTGCTTCTCTCGAGATCGCGCAGGAGGCAAAACGAGCGAGGCGTTCTCCTTTCCGCCTTGGACCTTTTTTCATTTTCTTAGTCCTGGTGGAGGACAGGGTGCACCTGGGGAAATCCCCTTCCCGGGTACAATAAGGCACGGTGGTGTGCGGATTCCCCCTCCCGCTACTGAAGACTTGCGTGGCAAAGAGGAATTAGGGGGGGGGACGGGCATCCCAAGTGTAAGGGGCTTAAGGCCTTCTTTCCATGCCAGGGCAGGGCTTAGCCTTAGCAGGAATAATGAAGAGAGCGCCCTAGGCCAGGCGCACAATGCTTTCCTTCCCCAACCAGTCCTCACGTGTCTTGAACGGAGATTTCCAGAGCAAGTGACGAGTTGGGAACAACAGCGCGGCCTTGGCCCCCGATGCGTTTACACCTCGACTAGGACTGGGAGAGCCGGGAGGAACACGACGCCTAGTCAACTCTCCGCTGTTGTTTCTGGTCCTCATTGAGAAGGAAGGGGAGCTGTAGACCAGGGTGCTGAAGACCGGTCTACAGGATCTCAGCTCCCCTCCCTTCTCAACGAGGACCAGAAACTTTTGTTTCAATTACAGTGTCCAAAGTTGGCGAAGAGCTGCGTGCCTCGGGAGCCACCCCACAGACTTGCAGCCTTGTCCCCGCCGCTGCCTGCCCGCCGACCCCAGCGCACCTAGTTTTTAGTTGATTAAAAATATTTTAAATTCGCGCCTTAACCTCAGGAGGGTTGGCTTGGTACAAATTGCGCTCTTTGAGTAGCGGAGAAAGGGGACTTTGGATGCGTTTATGTGCCGCTCCTTTGCGCGGGACTGAATCGGATCATCTTCGCCTTGTTGCGCTTTTGCAAAAGGGTGACCGAGGTGCGCTGGCAGCCTTGCGAGTAGTTCAGTGACCTCTCCGCTACCTTCTCCAAAGGTGCTTCCCATAGCGCCACTCTCGCGTCCAATGCGCGACTGCCTGAATCGCGCAGCTTCTCAAGGGAGCGATTGCGGAGCTCCTCGAGTCCCCTCCACCCCAGCCTCATCCAAAGGACGCCTTGCAGGGCGTGGGCAGGCCAGTATACCTTCCCCTAGGCTGGGGGCAGAAGGACCCGTGGGAACCTCAATCCCCCCCCTTATTTTGCAACAGCCATCAGTCAAGAAAGATGGCAAGGGGTGTTGTCGAGAGATGCCCAATGGGGTGCTGCTCGCTGCAAACTGGCAACAGGTTTGCGTTGTGTTTTCTCATGCGTTTCTTGGAAATGGCAAATCCGGATTAAACAAAACGGAGGCGAACGTGGACGAATCTGGCTGCACGTGGACCCTGCGAAAGGGAGGGGGAGCTGCATACACCGTGAGGCGCACCCCCCCCCCCCGAGAACGCACCCCCTAGAAAAGGCCCCCGGAGCAGAAGGAGACGCCGCGTCGCCGCGCACGCGAAAGAGGCGGCAGCGCCCCGTCCCGCTTCTCCCCTCCGACTCCCTTCTCCTCAATGACAGCGAAGCCCGGGGGTTCTGGCCCCGCCCCGCGGCAGCCCGGCACTCGCCCCTCATTGGAGGCCGGCCCCTCGGCCTCCTCCGCCATTGGCTGGCGAGAAATTAGTATCAATGTTTAAGCGGCGGCGTGAGGTGAATAGAGTCAGTCGGCAAGACGGAGGCGGGAGCCCGCCAGAGAGCGAGGGAGCGAGCGAGCGAGCGCGGGGCTGCGCGGCGGCGGCGGCTGCTGCATCCGGCGAATGCTGCAGAAAGGGAGGAGGGGGAGGCGCCCCTGCCGAGCCTCCTCCTCTTCCTTGGCTACATCCAACTGTTGCATCTGCCTCCGGTCTTCCCAGCCGTTACCTGCTGCGGGATCGAAGCGGGATGGATTTGCTCGCTGCGGGCTCCGCGCGCCCTCCTGCTGCGCGTGGGGTTTGACCCACTGACCCACCCGCGAGAGGATTTTTTGCTTTCAGGCGTGGGAAGCGACCGAAGCAGCCTTCGCCTTCCAGCGGATTGCAGGATTCGCTCCTGGCCCGTCGATCCTCCTCAGGACTTACATAGAGATACAAAATAACAGCAAGAGAAGACAACTGCTTCTCACGTACATCCAAGCAGTGCCGAAACTTGCCAGAGCTGTGCTTTTCAGACAGCGTGTGTGCGCAGTGCGAGCGTGCGGCGTGTTTCTCTCCCGCCCCCCACCACTCCATCTGAACTCTGGGTGTTTCTATCACACGTGATACCCGGGAAAACAAGGGGGCACAGCAACCTTGCATCCAAAAGCAGCGGGGGTGGGGGTGGGGATTCCAGGCTGATTCTCGCCCTCTCGGACCCTCCTTCAACCTCCAGGGGCCGAGGCGAGCAGAAGTGGAGCCGAGGCCAGCACCCTCCCCACACCTGGGCTCCCCCCAGCTCTGCGTGGATTGCAACAAATGGCATTATTTTTAAAAGCAGCCTCTTTTCCTGCTCCCACTCGGCGCTTCTGAGACTGTAGAATTGCATCCTCCAGCCCGGACTGCCGGGGGGGGGGGGTGTCTTGGGTGTCCAGAGCCCTGGAAGCTGCAACTCTCGCCTGCCCCGGAGCAACGCGAGGCGCTACTGACTGGGTGCTCTGTGCTTTCTGTTTTTGCTCGGCGAGCTTTGACTCATCCAGACGCTTCGAAACACCTGCAGTTCTGGCTCTGGCTTCCATGGACGACAGCCGGGAGAGAGTAAAGACTGTTCTGTGAAATCCTGACATCCCGTCCAAGGGAGGGAGTTGTGTGTGTGTTTGTTTTAAAGACCCTTCATCCACCAGCAATAACCCCCCCCTCCCGCCAGCCAACTCCACCCCAAATCTCTCCCCATTTTGCTGTCGCTCCACAGACACGTATTTCTTTAAAAAGCTTGTGAAAATGCACCGAAGCTGCTGGCTGCTGCAGCCTCATGATTTTCCCTCCCAGTTTCTGAGAGCATTTTTTTTTTAATAAAAGGATTCGAAAATATTTCTTTTAGCCAAGCTGTGTGAGCTCTACTCGGTGAAGAGGACAAAAGTGGCATTTGCGGTGGGGAGGAGATGGAGGCGCGAGGAAGAAAAGAGGGGCGATTGAAGGCGCTGCCTCGTGAATGCAAAGGCTGTTTTCCCTTTTAGGGAGAGACTTCGTGTGCGCGTCTCTCTCTCTCTCTCTCTCACTCACACACACACACACACACACACACACACAGCGCCCACCTCTCGCTTCCCCCTTCCCCCCTTCCATTCTATGCGCCCAGCCATGAGTTGCCTGTTGATTTCCTCTTGACGGCCAAGACAGAGAGCGAGGCAGGCAAACTGAAATTAAACTGCAGCGAGGAAAGTGCAGAGCTCTCGCAGACACGCACAGAGGCAGCAGCGAGAGGCGGGCGGGCGAGGGGCTCGTCGCGGTGGCGGCGGCGCCACGAGCAGCGGCGGCGGCGGCGGCTCCTCCCGATCTCCCAGGCGCAGCAACCCCCGGCGTGCCTCTGACGGGGCCGGCGGCCGATTTTTTCTTTTTTTAACTGACCCCCCCTCCCCGTCTCGTTTTGCCGAGAGACCCACTGCAAATCCGGAGGAGGAGCGGCTCTGGCGGGCTCTGAATCATCTCTCTCTCCCCCTTCCTCCCGGAGGAGGATCTGGTGTGTAGGACTTACAAACCTGCAGAGACCCGGCTCTATCGGGGGGCTTTTGGACACCGCGCTTTGCCACCCCTCCGACTGAGAACATTATTTCTGGCGCCGCAGGAGGCGGCCAAGCGGGCGGCGGGTCCAGCCTGAGAGATGCGGCGCTCGGCAGCGGCGCAGCCGGCGAGATTTCATCGGCGACTGCAGCAAGAGGCTCGCTGAGGAGACCCGGCAGCCGGAGCCGTCAGGCGTCGCTTCCCCGCCGCCCCCCCTCCCCCGCAAGTCTTGGCCGAGCGACTGCGGCCCCCTCCCCGCCCGGCGGCTGCTCGCCCCTCCCTGGCCGCGCTGGCGGGGCTGCGCTTCTGGGCCAGGCGCCTTGGAGCGAGGAAGCGCTTCCGTGAGAAGACGCGCGCCCTCTCGCCCTCTCGTCCCTGCATTTGAGGAGATTGCTGCTTCGGGTCCAGAAAAGAAGCTGCGTGGTTCTGAATTATTCTCTCCGCCCCGCTCGCGCCCCGCACCCCGAAGTTGGACGCGGCAAGGGGGACCCGCCCGCCCGCCCGCCCGCGCGCTGCCTCCATGGTGGGGCTGGCGGGTCTGCGCGGATCTTGGCGAGCAACAGGTCCTGGAACTTGAGCGAGGCGGCGGCGGCAGCGAGGCGGCGGGCGCGACTCCCGGCCGCGGGGAGCGACGGCAGAGCGGGCGGCCTCGTCAGGGGGCTTGGTGGGCGCGCCCGGGGATGTGGCCCCTTTCGGCCTGCTCCTTGCTGCTGTGCTGGGCTCTGCCTGCCCTGACGCTCAAGAACCTGAACTACTCGGTGCCCGAGGAGCAGGGCGCCGGCACGGTGATCGGCAACATCGGCCGCGATGCCCGGCTGCAGCCCGGCGCGGGCGGCGGGTTGCCGTCCCTGGAGCGCGCCCGCGGCGCCAAGTCCACCTTCCGCGTGCTGGAGAACTCGGCGCCGCACCTGCTGGACGTGGACGGCGAGAGCGGCTTGCTGTACACCAAGCAGCGCCTGGACCGCGAGGCGCTGTGCCGGCGGAGCGCCAAGTGTCAGCTGTCGCTCGAGGTTTTCGCCAACGACCAGGAGATCTGCATGATCAAGGTGGAGATCCAGGACCTGAACGACAACGCGCCCGCCTTCCCGTCGGACCAGGTGGACCTGGACATCTCCGAGAACGCGGCGCCGGGCACCCGCTTCCCGCTGGCCAGCGCCCACGACCCGGACGCCGGCGAGAACGGGCTGCGCACCTACGTGCTCACCCGCGACGACTACGGCCTCTTCTCGCTCGACGTCAAGGCCCGCGGCGACGGCACCAAGTTCCCCGAGCTGGTGGTGCAGAAGCCGCTCGACCGCGAGGAGCAGAGCCACCACACGCTGGTGCTGACGGCGCTCGACGGCGGCGACCCTCCGCGCTCGGGCACCGTGCAGCTCAACGTGCGCCTCATCGACTCCAACGACAACAGCCCCGTCTTCGAGGCCGCCTCCTACGTGGTGGAGCTGCCCGAAAACGCGCCGCTGGGCACGGCCGTCATCGACCTCAACGCCACCGACGCCGACGAGGGCACCAACGGCGAGGTGCTCTACTCGTTCAGCGGCTACGCGCCCGAGCGGGTCCGCGAGCTCTTCAGCATCGACCCGCAGACGGGCCTGATCCGCGTCAAGGGCAACCTGGACTACGAGGAGGGCGGCCTCGTTGAGATCGACGTGCAGGCGCGCGACCTGGGGCCCAACCCCATCCCGGCCCACTGCAAAGTCACCGTGCGCCTCGTCGACCGCAACGACAACGCGCCCACCATCGGCTTCGTCTCGGTGCGCCAAGGGGCTCTGAGCGAGGCGGCTCCTCCCGGCACCGTTATCGCCCTGGTGAGAGTGACGGATCGTGACTCGGGCAAGAACGGGCAGCTGCAGTGCCGGGTGCAAGGGGATGGCAGCGGCGGGGACGGGGCCGTGCCCTTCACCCTGGAGGAGAACTATGACAAC